CGTTGCATAGCTACATACATACATACATATGTATGTATGTACGTATGCATAATGCACATGTCTATAGTTGCACCAGTTCGTAAAAAACTTTTTAGTCGTATATCTACCGTTGTTAGCAGTTGAAAGTCACGATTGGATCGGGAAAAAGTACTGAAAGCTATTCAAATAAGTTAATGTTTTGAAATCACGGTCCAAAAGCAACGACTTCTTACCATCACTAACTTTTCTTCATCTGCCTTTCGATATGCCATCTAAATTGTTTGGACATCAACGAAGTACTCATGTAACAACCCATTTGTTTGATTTTAGCAATGCTTACCGTACCGACTCGTACTTTTTATGATCTCTCGAGTAAGGTCAAAGTACTTTGGCTCTGCCATTGTCGCGTTCCCCAAAATCAGGTTTCTCATGTAGGGTTTTTTCCCACCTTTTGCAAAAACCGAAGGGCGAGAGTTGACATTGCAATGGGTCTTAACCCCAGAATTACTCATACTGGCCCTATTCACATACATACATAGCGCACTCGCAGCTTCGTAGCACCCAGTTTCCGTCAGCATCCGCATCCGCTTCAAGATGGCCAACAAAAATAGAGCAACAGACCAAAACAGGCCGAATGAAATCGAGAGTAACATCGTATCATGAATCCATGAATGGCCGAAGTCACCGCACGTGCGATCGCGCGATTGAACCGATTTGTCCAAAACCGGGCGGGCATCATTTGCTGGCCACCAGGCAAAGGGTGCTCGGCTTTGGGACGTGTTAATCATGCCAAATATGCCTGGGCTACACTCGGGGCCATGCCAATAGGGAATGTGATCGATTCAGCTGATATGGCGTCGTTGAGTTCGAACTTAATCGTCTCAGAATTAGTTTTGAAGTTTTCTATAATAGAATCTTAAGCAGTGCCTCTTGAAAAAACTTGTCTGTCTGGTTTCATCTAACATTTCCAAGATTTGAAATGGCATTACACAAAAGTAGACCATCAGCAATAAATGGTGTGCATAAAATGTAAAACCAGTTTATATGTGGTTTTACTGATGGATTTTCCTCAAATAATGCAGGTGCTCCATGTAGCAAGTGTTGGCAATCTCCACCCTTCGATTGGCAGTGCTATTGGGCTGACCCCAGGTGTAAGTTCGTCGAACAGGTGTAGCACTAATTGGCGTGGAGCTGCGCAGCATTGAAACCGGATAGCACAGAGCACAGAGCACGGGGCTTCAGGGTCGCCGTGGGAAATGCCTATGCCAAGGGATTTTTAAAGCCCAGTACTCTGGACTATTGCCCGCAGAAAACCCGAATAAATTAGGCAAGGCTGCGGCTCGGAAAGCGTTGAAGTTGAAAGCGAATCTGAAACTGAAGCCGAAGCTGATACTGAAACCGGCTTGAGGTGGCATCATTTCCCAATGACGATGCACCCAGTTCGGCTCGCTCTCTCCGAGGCAAACTCCATGTATCTCACGGATCCTCCTCGCTCTTTCGACGCACGTGAATGTCATGCTCAAGTTCAGATTCAGCTGGTGCTGACCAGCTAATGGGCTCACAAGCCGAGTTTCGATGCACAATAGCTATTTACTTGTTACTATCACTACATTGTGGTCGCCAAGCACCCAAATCTGCAAAGATATCTTTCGGCAGAAGCTGTCATTTGGAAGCCACTTCGTTTTGGCGCTCCAGGTAATGAAGTTGGAGCGCAGCCTGCGTTTTTCTGTAACTGAAGTAGCCATGTCGGGAAACAAACCCACTCGGCAGCACTGGCCCATCGATCGCCAACACCCACTCTCTTGGCGCTCTGCTCACAATACCAGTTCGGTTCTTGGCCTGGCATAAAATCTCGACGCGCGCTTTTGGCCGCAACAGTTTCATCTGGGCTTTCAGCTCCGTTGCACGCGTCGCTCGCTGCCGTCTTTTTGGGCCGTCTTTGCGGAATACTGTTAGCCATTATACCTTTATAGCCAAACAAGTTTCGGTCTTGTTGTGCTGTTTTGTGTTGTGTTGTTTTGTGTTGTGTTGTGTTGTGTTGTGTTGTGAGTGATCCTCGTATTTTCCCAGACACAACACTAGCGACTCAGTAAACTCTTGTGTTTAGCGTCGTTTATGAATGCGAAATCATATCACCTGGCCCATCTAATCGAAGCTGGTAGAAATTTTCAATGTCAGCGCTTCGGATGCTAATTTCCTAGTCTTTTGTTTCGAGCCAGCCACTCCAAGCTGCTCTGCGCAACTAGACGGGAAATCTGTGGCGCTAATTTCTGATTTGATGGGAAATCTACTGCGCTAATTTCCGACTACCTCCACTGCCTATGCTCGAAGACCCTGGCTACGCATCTCGTAACTCAAAACTCGCCTAACTAGAATTTCATTCAAGTAGAACGCGTCGGATTCAGTCCAGAATTCAGTTCAAGGTCACTGAACCAACATGGATTTCTGACTGCGATGCTCTGAAGAATTGCATTATCTTCGCGATTCTCTGGCTTCTTCTTCGAGTTTAAACAATTTGCGAATGTCAAGGTGAAGGTCGGCCAGGTGATCAATAATATCAATTTGTATATATCCGACCATCGGTGGGGAAGTCTAGAAACTAAATGCAGTTGAGCCGGTTCCGAGTCACTAGTGTCTCGCTAATAAATTAAAATTTCTACGCTTTTTCCTATAAATAGAGGGCACAATTTTGCATTTGGCAAACAGCAAACACACAAGGCGAATCGCTTAGAAAAAGTATACAGCTTAATATTGTCGCAGAATAATTTCAGTTGGGCCAGAGCAGCAGCAATCGCAAAATGAGTAAGTAATTGTGAAGTACTGCCGCCATAACGAGTATATGCCAACTAATTGGCAAGCGATGTTAGTTAGCTCAAGTTATTAAGTTGGCCGAAGTTCCAAGTGCACCCAGTCTGAAAGCCCGTTCTCCAGCTCAAAGTACAGAAGCTATCGCTAATTCCCTTCCCTTTCCTCCCCTTCCAGGAGTCCCCACCATGCTGTCGGACATCGACCAACTGCCCAAGCTCCAGGTGGGCGACTACACCCTCCAGTTCGAGCTGGGCGAGCCCACGGACCAGGGCAAGGAGGTGGCCATCAAGGAGCTCCGGGAAACCCCCGAGCGCCAGAAGGAGGCCGCCAAGGAACTGGCCCGACTTCTAGAGGGTGAGATATGATCAGAATGGGCTCATGCTAGCCGAGCATATAGTTTTTTTTAGTCACTACTCTTTCAAGCCTTAATTAAGTCATCATTTCATTGTGACTGCGTTTAAAAGTTATTTATAGTTAAGTTAAACGCTCTCAAAAAGGTTAATGAAAAAAGGTTTTAGTATATGTATTTGACCAAGCAATTTTCATAATAACCATTTGAGGCATCTCCACAAGCTACCTTTCATGTCATATCTCTAAAATACTCGACTTACTGACTTAAGACAAGTTTAAATGATCTGGCACTTCGTGCACCTCTTAACCTGCATCCAATGATTTACCCGATCGTTCGGAATTGAAAATCCATTGGTACTCTACGTTCGAACGAGCAGTTCTATATCATTAGTTGGCGATTTCGTGTCACTAATAACAAGTTTGGGGTTAAGGCAGCGGGGGGGATTTCGTTGCATAACAACCGCACAATGGCAACAAATTACTACTGCTTTTTAATTGCAGCCGTATGGCTCGAGCGACTTAGTGTCAGCGGAATTGTGAATTTAAGAATTACGCCTATTGGAGGTGCGGTCGATTAATATTAGCGATCTGCTTTCAGCGGAGACGGACTTGCTGTACCCCAAGGGAAACGAGGAGTGGCTGATCAGGTACCTGCGGCCCTGCAAGTATTACCCGGAAAGTGCTCGGGATCTGGTAAGCCCTGTGTGGTAGCCGGTAGCCCAGTTAGCTGAGTCACTGATTGCATATTTCGCATATCCAACAGATAAAGCGCTACTACGCCTTCAAGGTGAAGCACGCTGATGTGTACGCCGACCTGAAGCCATCGAACGAGGTCAACATCTTCAAGCACAACATCCTCACCGTCTTCCCCAACCGAGATCAACTGGGTCGGCGCATTTTGGTCCTCGAGCTGGGCAGTAAGTACACGAAGGGGAACCTTAAATATATTTCCCTTAATAACAAAGATCTGTTTGCTCAGAGTCAGTCACTTCATTTGAGCTTAGATGCATTTCAGGCTTCAGTGTTTCCGAGTTAATAGATTTTGAGCAGATCCTGTAGTAATCTTTCGCAATCCCTGATTACAGAGCGCTGGAAGCACAAGCAGGTCACCCTGGATGAGGTGTTCAAGGGAGCCGTGATCTTCTTGGAGGCGGCCATGCTGGAGCCGGAAACGCAGATCTGCGGAGCCGTGGTGATCTTCGACATGGATGGCCTTAGTCTGCAGCAGACGTGGCAGTTCACCCCTCCGTTCGCCAAGCGCATTGTGGACTGGCTGCAGGACTCGGTGCCCCTCAGGATCAAGGCCATCCACATCGTGAACCAGCCGAAGATCTTCCAGGTGGTCTTCGCCCTGTTCAAGCCCTTCCTCAAGGAGAAACTGCGCAGCAGGATCATCTTCCACGGCACCGACCGCGAGTCCCTGCACAAGTACATGTCGCCCAAGTGCCTGCCAGCCGCCTACGGCGGACTCCGGGAGGCCAACCGCATCGACAGTGACCAGTGGTACCAGTTGCTGCTCAAGTGCGACGCCGAGTTCGACACCATCAACTCGTACGGCTACAAGAAGAAGTGATCTGTGGCCAGGTGCTGCCCGTGATAACCGATTCCACTCGGCTCCCCTGTTTCCACACGTTTCCATACCAAGCCTACACGCGTTATAGTTAAGCACTCGATCTACCATACGCTTGTCCTGTTAGTGAGTAGCGCCTAGAGTTTGCCTTAGTCTTAATCAGGATCGGAGTGTCGATCGCAGACAGAAGAAGTGTTATACCTACATGCATATTATTTTTAATCCGGGGTAAGCGTATTTATATCATGTTACTCTTGTACATTAAACCAATTGTTGAATTATAAACATACTATTGTAAAGACGTGCGCTATTCGAATTTATTCAATTGTTAATTGTTCCCAGCTCAAATATCAGATAAATACACTTAAGGCACTCCGAAGTTAGTTTAGATCAGACAAAAATGTAGCTAGTACATTGACAAAAATGCAACAGTCTGATTGCCTTAAAAGTTGCGTACTAGACACCGAAAGCTAGCTTTTCTCAAGACCCTTGGTTATGCAAGCGCCATAAACGATTGTTTTGCAGGTAAGAGTATTTCATATGGTAACGTAACAAAATAATATTGTAGTAAGACGTATTACTGCATTTGAATCCTATTTTCTAATATTGTATCATAGCAAGTGAGCAGTAGACGTACGTTTTCTTGTATACAGTGAAGCTCGCTCTGAATTAGCTTGCTGTGAAGCGACATTCCCTTGGAATGTCCACTACAACGACGTAATCTCCCCTACTGCCAGCAAGATTGGGTGGTACTTTTTGGTCTGTGGCGCTTTCCCCTCCGCGGAATGGAACGCATTGAATCTGAAGGTCGACCGGCGGGGAGGGCGGTTAAATTAAGCGTAAGTTTCCTGACAGCTCCTGTCTGTCTGCTCATAGTCGATAATTGGTGGCTGGCGCCTTGTTGGCGGTGCGCGTCTGACCGAACACTTTCTTGCCCGGGCTCTGCATGGCGGCATCGTCGCCATCCGCGTCCTGCCCCCCGCCATTGCCGCCACCTCCGCCCGTGCAACAGATGCGCCGCTGCACCAGGCGAATGGGGCGGGTGAGGTCGATGGTGTCGCCGTGCTGGCGCAGCTCCGCTTCCGCCACGCACTCCATGTGCCGCCACTGGCGGAGGCCAAGGACGAAGGCATCCGTCACATTGGTGGCCGCCTTCGAGGACGTCTCGATGTGGCAGGTCACCTTCTGCTCCGCGCACCACTGCTGCACTGCATCGGAGTTCACCTGTCGCTTCTGCGCCGGGATGTCGTTCTAAAATGTAGAGGAATCACTTTTGAAAATCAAGTTGGTTCTCAAGCTCTGAAATCTTTACGTTGGTAAGGATAATTTACAAATGATCGACTAAATCCCAGGATGTCTTCAAACATTGAAACCCCTTAAAATAACTTTCCTCTGAAGGCCTGGCTCACCTTATTGCCCACGACGATGAATGGAAACTTGTCCTGGTCCACATCTGCGTAGTTCAGGAACTCGTTGCGCCACAGACCCAATCCCTTCAAGCTGTCCCGATCGTCGAGTGCGTAGCAGAGCAGGCAGATGTCCGATCCCCTGTAGAACGGAGTGCGCAGCGCCCGGAATCGCTCCTGGCCAGCGGTGTCCCATATCTACTTTGGGAAAGTCCAATTAAAGCAATGCATCAATTGATTAGGTTTGATTGAATTGGCGATTCAAGAGCCACTTAATTGAAATTTGCATTCTATTAGAAGTAAATTCACCGGTTCAAAATCTGAGTGCTTGTATGGCTGACTCACTTAAATCAACAGGTTTACTGGCATTTCTTGTGTGTAGTTTAAAATTTAGTTTTGGACTGATAAGGCGGTGGTGATAAGCAACTTCTAGGGAAATAGTTCATTGAAACTGAATTTGCTCAGTGCCCGAAGGTTACAGTTAGCATACAATATACACATGAGGTTTTAAGTAATGTAACTTGTGCTGGTCGCACTTTCTTCAAGCAATTTGTCACTAACAAGGGAGGATGGACTTTTGACTTTATCTAATGCTAACACCTTTGGCCTCCAAAACCACGAGTAGAATGACCTTTTAGGGTGTGAGTGCTGGCCATGGCAACTAAATATGTCCATAAATAGGCAGTCGAAAAACACCTCAGTGATTCCGGGCTTTTTGGCTTTTTGAAGCCTGGGAAAATCCACTTGTTGCCAGGCTCTTCTTTGGCCCAGAAGCACTGCTTGGACTCCAGCCAACTATGCGACATTCCCGTGGGATTAGTCATGTGTATACCATCAGACCACGTCCCCCCACTTTCTATAATGTATCTGCGGGTTTAATTAGAACCATTATTCCGATTCGCGACACCTTGGCTCGATTTTGCTTGCTCACTGAGACGCGCTGCATATTCATGAGTTTTCCGAGCTTGGCGAACTGCGAAAATCATTTAGTTCGATGATTTCGAAGACAACACACTAAGTACATGGAAAACATCTACGATTCATTGAGCACGGAAACCGCGTCGGCGGATGAAACAAAGTCTCTCGCTTTTTTTGCCGAATAGAGAAACTGTCATTATTGTTATTATTTCAGTTTTTGTTTTCTGCAATGCCATTCCGTTCTCAACGCTAATTGAGTAGAAATCCAATGCCTATGTGTGTGAGTGGGCATGGGGCAGATGGAACAGATACCCCCATGAATGTGGGCACAGCCACAGTGGTACGCAAGCAACTAAAAACCGCTCAATTTTTAGTTGCGTACACTGGTTACCTTTTTTCTTTTACTCTAATTTATATTAAATATATGCTAAATATAATTTGTACTATTTTGTTCACCAAGGAATGTAATTTGATCAGGGGATTTCATTTCAGTTGGTTCAAGTTGATCCGTGCTGTGCAGTTCTGTTTTTGAGCGGTTCAACTTAGTGCACTTCCACTGTACCGCGAATGAAGGGAATGGAAAACAAGGCTTAATCGTTGTTCAGTTTCAAGTGCTTGCATCAACAAAATGCCGGTGGATCTGCTGCCGGGTGAGGGGGTATAGATCACGTGGGGGAAAATGAAAACACGGAACGCAAGGAAATACGCTTGGCCAACTGTTGCCTTCGCCAACTAGAATTGCAGAGTTCTACGGCTATCGGTACTACTTGGGTGGATGGTGGCAGGGAACGGATTGCATAATCCATAGACCACTGGGTGCCAGACTTCACCTGCAGAGTGTAGCGCTCCCCGTCGACGACTATGTCCTTGTTCATGAACTCCACGCCGATGGTGTGGAAGTTGTTCTCCTCGTAGCGGTTGGAGACGAAGCGGGTGAGCAGGGCGGACTTGCCCACCCCCCCGTCGCCCAGTATGACGACCTTCAGCAACTTGGACTTCTGCGGTGGCCGCATGTTTGTCATAATGCCTGTGTTTGTTTGTTTGCCTTTGCTGCTGAGTTAGTTCCTCGGACTTTTCCTACTGCGCAGCTGAAATGACTGCCGGCTGCAGAGTTTTCGACTTGATTTCACTCACGATCCCCGACCGATTAGCTTGCACATTCGCAATTGCACCAGTGTGTTGTTAGCAACGAATGCAGCTCGGTTTTTGTTTAAATACATCTAAACGCGCAGCTCAATCGAAATTCGCGCCGTGCAGCAGCTCCAATTGGATTGGCAGTCAGCTGACAACTAACAGACCGGGCCCTCGCCCTAACATTATGTTAGGCTCGGCGTCAACAGAGCTCCAGTGTAGGGTAACTTTGGTTTACTGAACAGCTGTTCTAAATAGCTGTTACATTTGCGTAAAAGCAGAAGTAGTTTACAAATCCAATATAATTTCTAATTCTAGTTCGTTATTATTAGTGTAGTGACTAACAGCGATCGGGCTATCGTATAAATCTTTATTTATAATTAATAGCTTATAATAAATTAGACTCAGCCCTTTATCACCGCAATCGGGCGCATTTTGATGCACTTTTTGCTAATGCCCGCTGCATGACAGGTGTCGACCACATCGGTCACGTCCTTGTAGGACTCCGGTGCCTCCTCCATGACCAGCTTGGGCGAGGCCACGCGAATGGCGATGCCCAACTGATCCAGCTTGTCCAGAACCTCCTTGTAGTCCAGGTTGCGGCGGGATTTGGCACGAGACAGAGCGCGACCCTGCAGATCAGAATTCAGCGAGGTTTTAATATGCTAAATAGGAGGAAATAGCATTTAGGCACTTACCGCTCCGTGGCAGGTGCTACCGAACGTCTCCTGCATTCCCTGCTCCGTTCCGGTCAACACGTAGCTGCAGGTGCCCATGGTGCCACCCACCAAGACAGGCTGTCCGGTAAGCTGGTAGTCTACTGGGATCAGGGGATGGTGTGGCGGGAAGGCGCGCGTGGAGCCCTTGCGGTGAACCAGCAACTTTCGCTCCTTGCCGTCTACCATGTGGTTCTCCACCTTGGCAATATTGTGCGAAACGTCATAGATAACGTGCATGTCGAGATCATCTGGAGTAGTGTTGAACATCTTGGCAAACGCCTGGCGGGTGAGGAATGTCATGGAGCTGCGATTGACCCAGGCAAAGTTGGCAGCCGCTGCCATGGCCTTAAGGTAGTCCTGTCCTTCCACCGAATTGATCCTGGCGCAGGCCAGCTGCCGGTCATTGGTCTCGATCTTGTCCCGCTTCATGGCCTTCTCCATTTGGACCAGGGCATCGGTAGCAACCTGGTGGCCAAAGCCACGGCTGCCAGAGTGAATCATCACCACCACCTGGCCCTTCTCCTCGATGCCCATCTTGGAGGCGCTCCACTTGTCGTAAATTTCGTCCACCACCTGGATCTCGGCGTAGTGATTGCCCGCGCCCAGGGTCCCCAGCTGGGGCAGTCCTCGCTTCTTGGCGCGCATGCTCACCTTGGCGGGATCGGCGTTCAGCATGCGGCCGTACTCCTCGCAGTGCTCCTTGTCCTCCGCCCACACGTAGCCCTCCCTCAGCGACCAGTCCATGCCCATTTCCAGGGCCTCCTCCAGATCACGAGCATTCATGGGTATGATGCCCTTGGAGCCCACACCCACGGGGATGTGATCAAACAGGGACTGCGCCAGTTGCTCCTTCACGGGCTGCACATCCTTCTCGTAGAGATTCGTGCGCAGCAGGCGGACGCCGCAGTTGATGTCGAAGCCCACGCCTCCGGGACTCACAATGGACAGCGGATCATCCATGTCGAAAGCAGCCATATTCCCGATGGCGAATCCGTAGCCGGAATGAATGTCGGGCAGCCCAATGGACCTGCCCACGATGCCCGGCAGGGCAGCTACATTGGCTATCTGCTTGACTCCGGGCAGGAAGCCACCCACTGCTCCCGGGCGACAGGAGTTCTTCAGCTCCTCCAGCATCAGGCGCTCCAGGCGGCTGTTCACATAGAAGCACCCCTCCACATTCATGTTCGGCTGGAAGCCCTTCTTGATCCGCCAGCAGTGGTCGCTCACCTTCTGCAGGTACTGGAGTTCATCGTTGTACGGACGCACCACCATCCTGACTCTCCGCACTTTTTCTTTGTCAGCTAATCTATTGCTATTTATAAGCCGCTACTTCGTCAGTTTTTCAGAATTGCATGCCGGCAAGAAATACTTGGCATCGATACTATCGAAACATACAGAGAAAATACCAAAAGTATTGAAAAGGGTTCGAAAATGCCGCTATCACACTTGTCCACAATGTGGCTATATATCATTAAGAAAAATTGTTATTTTAATTATATTATAAATGCTGAACTGCTAAGGGACGTTGTTATTTAAATATCCTGCCCACAGACCTTTGTGCCACGATTGTATTAAACTAAGTTTGTTGTCCAATCAACCAGTGCATAAGCAAGCAGTTGAACAAAGCAGTGCATTCCCCCAACGGAAATTTAAAGTTTATGTTAAATTTTAGGCAACTATCATTGCCGATTTATTAACTGAAAATAGGGAAACAAAGAAGTAAATTATGTAGAAAAGAAGAGCTTTCGGTTGAAAGTTTCTTTGCGTGTACGAACTAAATGCATTTGTAATCTCTCGCATAAGAAAGGCAAACATATTTACAAAACGAACAAGTCCATATCGAATTTGAAATCCAATTCCACTGAGATCGTTTCTAAATACTCCAATCGAACTTAGGCGGTCTGGAAAAACCCATTATACCTTCTATAGTAGTTCTGTACGTAATCAGGCGGGCCATATATCTTGAAATCTCCTTTGATCAGGTCACTGATGAGGAAGCTCAGGCTCGGACACTGCAGGGTCAGATTCTCGGGGAAAAAGGCCATGGAACGTAAGGTTATGAAGTGGATGAGCTTCAGAGATGGCAATCTGTTGAGTACTTGGGGCTGCAGATAGGAATCACCCGTCTGATTGTCAATGTGGAGTACGGCGAGTGCCTTCAGCTTATCTGCCGATTCCAAGAGCTGTGCTATCTGGTAGTCTCGCACATCGCAGTGACGCATGTCCAGAAATAGCAGCGATGGAACCACTTGGGCCACAGTTCCCACTATCTCCGCCGACAACTTGGCATGGTCCAACTTCAGAGCCCTAATCCTGCGGCTCTCAGAGGCCCCTTGGCACAGTGGCTTCAGGTACCGCAGGACATCTTCGTCCTTGGTGGAGTAGCCCACGATGATGTGCAGACTGTGCAGCTGGCCACCAAGCTTAATGAGGAAACCTTCCCGGAAAGCAGGCGCTTGTCTCATGCTGAACCTCAAGTCCCGGAATCGGCGGAGTTGTCTCTCGATGGCGCCATAAAAACATGGAATTTCATTGTACAGCTGTGCCAGCTCCTCTAGACTTAAGTAGCCAAATATAGTATCCAAGCAATCGTCGTTCAGTTGCAGCAGGTCCATTGTTCACTAAAAAACACAATAAGTCAAGGGTCTTCAATGAATTTTAATAAGCAGTAATCACTTTTATTTGTACGGGCACAAGCCTTAAACATCAGGTTCACTTAGCTCCTAAGGCAATTCTAATTTTGGCTATCAAGATAATGGTAAGGAACTGTCAAAAAAGGTAAAGAACATAAGAAAGCAGAGTAGTTGCTGAGTGTTTTCTATTCAAATTGAAATTTATTCAACGATCTCATCCTATAAAATCCTGCATATTCACTACATATTGAAGCCCCACTTCGGCGACCCAGTACTTAAATCTAATTTGTAAGCTTGGCAAGAAGTATTTCCTTATGAATATTTCAAACTATTTCATGGGGTACACATTTCTAGATGGGCGTTAGCTCAGCCAGAGTTTCGGCAATGGAGCTATCCCGGAATCGTCCGATCCGCAAGGCGTACGATATGGCGTGCGCCACATAGCTCTGCTCGTGGACCCCGTGGAACAAGTAGGACATGGCACCTTCCGCGTGAATCGTGACATCGGAGCCACCGTGCAGATTCTCGTCCGTGTTGATAGCTGCCTGCTGGGTGTACCCCCAGTCGGCAATATCGTCAGCAGTTGGATCCCTGCGCTTCTGGGTGTTGGGATCCACCTGAAACCCCTGATAGCTGGTGCCATAGGTCAGCGTGGTGTACGGAGTCCCTTCTGTCTTTGAGTTTCCCGCCAAGCCCAGTATGCTGGATCCCCGATCGGGGTGTCCATTGATGGTCAGGCTGTGCGAGTGGTCGGCGGTCACAATGACCAGGGTCTCGTCCAGGCGATCCGTTGATTTGAGGAAGGAAAGGGTGGACTCAACGGCCGTGTTTAGTTCAAGCACTTCATTTAGCGCCTTTCGAGCGTTTCCCCTGTGATGGGCTTGGTCGATTAGACCGGCTTCCACCACGAGTAGGAACCCCTTATCACTGTTTCCCAGCACCTCGAGTGCCTTGCGGGTCATATTGGACAACGAGGGCATGCCGGAGTCACTTCGGTCTCGTTCGTGATCGTACATTAGGTGTCCATTGGCGAAAATGCCAAGTACATAGTCAGCATCCTGGCCATTGAGATTCCACAGCTCACGGTTGTTTTGGACAACCGCATGAGACACTCCCTCATCCTCTTTTTTTCGCCTCCAATCCTGGATGAGATCTCGCCCATCCTTCGACTGACTGGCCCAAGTGTCCAGGGGATCGGCTGGTGAACCGGTCACATCTGAGACCAGCATCTGGCGTCCACCGCCCATTATTACGTTAATCCTCTGACCCGTCGGCTGTTCAATCAACTGGCGAGCTATGTCCATGCATCCCTGACTTTGAGCCTCTGCTGGCATTCCGGTTTCACACTCCCATCGGCGATCTGGCACGTGGGCGTAGAGGGCAGCCGGAGTGGCATGCGTCACCCGGGTTGTGGTCACGAAACCCGTGCGCATGCCGTCCACCTGGGCCCATTTGAGGATCGTCTGGACGTGGTGGTCCTCCTTCAAGGACGCGGTGCAGTTCCCCAGAGGAACGTTCGCATCAACTCCTCCAGTTTCGTAGTTCACCTTCACTCCGCCAAAGAGAGCTGTGGCCGTGGAGAACGAGTCCGGTACTTGCTTGTCGGCGCAGTAGGTCTTCAGCAGTCCCATGTCCGAGAACTGCTCCCAACGGAGAAGTCCTTCCTCCTGGAATCCGAGTATCCGTGCTGCTGTCACCGTATTCGGACCCATTCCATCGCCTACGAACAGGATCACGTTCTTGGCTCGCCGGCGATTGAACTGCCTGGAAACGGCTTTCTGGAGTTCATCGATTCCCTGGTCGTACCACTCCTGCTGCGCCTTGGGCAGATCCACGGGCCAGTAGGTCACTGTCTCCATGTCGCCCACATCGCCGGACATCCCGTAGTGCACCACGAAGCCAATGCACATGGCGGTTATCAAGAGGGCCGAGAAAACCACCGATATGAGGAAGAGTCTGGATCTGAACCATTTCGTGTGCTGCTCGGGCGGGTTCTGGTCATTCCCCTGGAAACTGGCTTCTCCCTCCGTGTCCTTGGCACTGGAGTCCTCCAAATTGTTCAGCTGCACCTCCGTCATGTCCACATCGCTGAGCTTTCGAAACTTTTGGCTATTTATTGGCGTTCCACTTTGCTTTTCCATTTCTCAGTAACGTCTGGATCGGCCTAATCTCTAACAGACTGAAAATGCGAAATATATTGCAGATTGTTAACTAATCATTGTTTACCACAGATAAAAGGCACTTTATAGACAGAAAGACGTGACTACAATTGATGTGTGGTACTTTCGGTTGAATTTAAATTGGGATAGAACGTTATTTGGGGAGTCTAAGCGTTTTACTTATTAATAATAACTAGGGTCGAGGCAATATATTATTTGCTTAGCGATCTTTCTATTGTTACACTAAGAACTGGTGCTCTTGGTGTAACAGCAAAACGATTTTATTTGCTAATCTTTTGTAGGTAGTTTTAAAACGTTTTTTGGTATGTTTTCAGCGGCAAGATAATGAGTATTTTTGGTAAGTTACCACTTGATTTCTGCCTCGGTCGGCGCGATAGTTCCAACCATTCGGATACTGCTATCGATAGTCTGTCAGCTGTTTCGCTCTCTCCCACTGTCCAGTTGAGCGGGCGTGCGCCTGTGTGTGTGCCTGCGTCCGTGTACGTGCTCCAATGTTTTTTTGTATTGTTTATGACCGCCGCTCCGAAATTAAAGTGATTCATATATAAAACTCGTCTCCAACTCGCGGCGAAATCCACCGATACTCGCCATTCGGGCGCTGGCAACAGCTTAAAATTAGTCTCCGGCCAACTCCGCGGCTTCCAGTTGCGGGTGAACAAGAAAATAAAGTGTTTGCGTGGACTTGTCGCTCTTCGTTACCAATCAGCATCAATTAAAAACGCGTGTGCTTGTGCCAAAAAAACCCAGAAAACTGAGCATTTCAGTTGGACAAGAGCGGAAAACCTCACACACACACACACGTGGCGGAACAACAACAACTCATCGCCATGGACGATTTGGGTAAGTGGTGGTCCACTTTTCCTCGGGGAAAAGTCTACCTGACTTCCTTAACCGAAGAATTCCACAGCATAACCTGTGTGACGTAGGCAAAAGCCACAAAGATAATGGTGCGACTTCAAGGTCAGTTGTTAATTGAAGTTAATTAACATGCAGCAGAGGATTCTGACGTTGGCCGCCAGGTGGCGACACAGGAAGTCGCAAATCTCACGCTTGAATAATTTTCGTTTACAGTGAAGAGTAGCTAAAATAGACCATCGCCTTCTGTTTTCAGGAGTATTTGGTTTATATATGTATGTCAATATACAAATGATTCGACATGTGATATTTCATATGGCCAATATTTACTGTTTTTCGAAACTCTTATCGTGAACATACTAGCATTAATCACGATTAAAAATGGCTGTGTTACGTGCCTTAAAATTCTTGGTGATGAATTTCAAGTGCTCGTCTTATCTTTGAACCCGTTCATCATACATACACACATAAATACATACATATGTAGATACACATGTACATACATATGTGCAATATGCACAACTATGTGCATGAGCTTTGGCATTCCTTTATGATTAATCCTAATTCCTGGAATCGAACATAAAAGCATCAAGCTCAGCACTTCCAATGTGAGATCATGTACAATTCCGCAATGCAAAGAGGGTGTGGTGTTTGAAACCCTTGGACTTTAGTGAATGATCTGATCTGAGAGAGGCAGCTTAATCAGCCGGGCACAGTGCTCTTTTAGCCTCCATCAGCGAAATAATGCCGTCGATATGCCGTCTCACTTTATTTTCTTTATGACACAATTCTTCGCTGTTCACAGTCTTTCTGCTTGTTTTTCGGAATGTCTTCTGATAAAAATATAAAAAATAAAGCAAATAAAATGTGCAGCCAACTCTCCGTGTCCAGACATTCTTAAGAAATAACTAAAGGCCAGGTCACACACTCTCACGAAGAATTCCAGCTGACTGGCACTACACCTACGCACAGTGGTCAAAGACCCCACTAAAATTTGGTTATCTGCGGGATTTATAGGATTCTACATTTTAACAAATTTTAATATAAGTTATTTAAATTAGAGCTTATGCCAATTCAAGTTAAATAATAGGCAGTATCTCAGACAATCAGCTTAAGATGAGAGCGAATCTTTTTAAAACAATAAAACTGATTATCTTTTGAGATCTTTACATCTCCACATATGTAAATACATATTTTGCCCTCGAAGCATTACTTTAATTGTCAATCAGATCGCACAGGAAGTAGACACTTCAGCTCCATCTTCATCTTGATCCTCTCCAGCAACTCAGATGCAGCCATTAGTGAGTGCGCGCCCACTTCATCGCCCACTCGACACGCAATGTCTTCTGTTCGTGTTGCGTGTGCGCACTGTAACAGCAATGACGAGATGATCTGTCGAGATCGGTTAGGTCTGAGGGGAGCTCTACAATTGCAGAGCAATGATCGCTTATGGTTACGGGAAAAGGTCCGCACAGTGGGACGAAAGGCTCAAAAGTTTTGGAAATAACATTTCTTCCTTCTCTTTGAAAGCGAAAATATGGTTAAACTAAGAATATATATTACAGTTTCCACGTTGTAATGACCTTGAAAGTATCTAACTAGCGATCTTCTATATTTTTTTGATTCTTGTTTGTTGATAAACTGTTTTAAAGCCGGATGTTGAGTAATAAGCTTTCCCACATGACTGTCACAGAAGAATAATCTTCCTAACATTTTTGACTGCCATTTTGTGAAACATTTTAAGTGGGTCTTTGAGATGAATACCCAGAGATGTTATAATATTGGTTGCCTTTGACTCACGTTTTTGTTTATTCGTCACCAACGAAGGGGTGGGCTTTTGTTGGCAACTGGCCCACTGTTCACACACCCAAAGAAAAGCTCCAATCGGGCGACAATGTTTTCGTCCGCTCTGGTTTCCTTTCGTTGTGCCTCCCACTTGCGGTCGAAACGCTCAGCCGCAGGCCGCAAGCCAAAATGAAAAGCCACTCCAAATGAAAAGCGACGTGGTGGGGCATAATGATGATTTTTCTCGCTCTCGTTTACTGTCTCTCTTGGCACTGAGAAAAAGAAAATATGTATAAACTCTTATTTGAAATACCATATTTATTTAAATTCGATTTTTTAACATTAAGCGTTAAGAGTTCATAATTTTGGTATGGCAATCTGAAAACGCTGATATAAACTTATTAATGCGTTGTGAAAAATATTTCTAGTTACTTTAGGTACACCCCTATATCATCGTTTAAAAGCTAGACTTCGTTTTTGAATACTCGTGTTTATAAATAAACAACATGAGCTGAATTTTTTGCAGTGCAGTTTGTTTACCAGCTCTCAAGCACCGAGGCTCTCTTGCTTCCGCTCTCTCTGAGCAGCCGCGAGAGTCGGAGCGCTCGTCTATTGGAGCCCGAGCATCGGGTCCCCCCTTTGGACTTCAGTCGATTGCGACGCTTTTACTGAATCGCGAGCGCAGCGCGTGTGTTTTCAGAGGTCTCTCGATTGTGGTCTCCCAACGTCGTCCTACGATCTCTAGGAACGATATATAGAATATGTGACAACACACTGCCAAAGTGCAGGCAAAAGTGCACAGATAACGCGATTAAATATAATATAGGAAACAAAGCCTAATCAAAACAAAAGGCACGCGAAAAGTGTTCGACGACGAGCTAGAGCAGGAAAAGTGAATGAAAATCCGCGGAACTGTGTTAGTGGCAGGTTGGAGCGTGGGAAATTGTTTACTTCGATTGCGAGGACAGTCTGCAGTATAAAGTTGACAAGCATCAAGAGATATCTAACACTAAGATAAACGATAAAGCAGGAATGCCAGAAGCAGTCCGCTAAAAATATTATACAATAAACTGGCCAAGATTAATGGATCCGTGTCACTCGCCTTAAGTCGACTAACTCTTGGCAAATCTTTTCGGCGCGTTGCTCGCCAAACATTTCAATTTCATTAGCATTTCCACTAATTATGGAACTAATTATCAACGGACAAGACATTCAAATATATGACATATTTGCCCAGATCTGGCAGAGCATAGAATTTTGGTTAGCCCCATTAATTTTCGCCTCGGGGCCCCAAACGGATTAAAAACGTGGGCGCTGAGATGGAAATTAATTTGGTATTTCTGTTTTCTGGAGGGAAATGCCCGAAATAGCCGAAATAGCCAAACGAATATAACAACAGACAGCAAAAGCAATTAAATTGTGCCCACTTAATCTATTAAAATTATGACATTTTTCACATATTTCAAGCAATCGAAGCCAAGTGCATTCACGAATGGAGGGTGCGGAACTTCCTTCCCCTTCCTCGCAAGAGTATCTCGAGTTACGACAGCAAATGGAAATGCTGGAGAATGATGTAAACTGGGCTGACATAGTGCGCACAAATGTTTTGTTGTTGTGTTCTGCACTCACGAGAATCGCTTTCGTTTTCCTTTTCGTTTCTCCCCAATATTTCGTTATCTCGCAGATACGCTTAGTGGATGTCATTTGTTTACGACCAGACAGCTGATGTCTTTGTCTCTCCCCGTGCGATCTGAAACCTCTAACTAAGCCTCTACAGATCTCTGATTTCTGGATTATTTGAGTTTCAAAGCTCGTTTTAAGCCCCAACTACTTAGCACCTCTGGAATCTCCATCATCGAATTCATAGTGCAGTGAGTTCATCGCCAGGTTTGAGCTTGTATTTCGTGTGTTCAGCAAGTTCCTCTGTTATTCAACAAGAAACATGATTCTTATCTACCAATCATACAAATTCAAATTCAAAAAGAGTGCGTTGTTTCGATTGCTTGAGAGAGTTGAGAGGGTTCGATAGATTGTGCAATTCAAAAATGACATTCAATGTTCACAAACATATTACCTTCTAAAGAAATATTTCAAAATAAACAGTGCAGTTCAAGTAAGCAGTAAGCAATCCCTTGTTTGCAATCGACAAATAGAACCAATTAAGCTTCCATTGAGCCAATTAAAAGACTCCGATATTTAATTCCAGAAAAGTCTTTAATCTGCCAAGTACGTAGCCACTTCCCAATAGACCCTATATCTAATCAAGACCCCAAAGGCCCCAAAAGTCAGTGGGCGATAGCTCGTCGCTTACTCGAGCCCCCATTACAGAAGTGGAATGTGGAAAGCACAGTTTACAACGGCATAAATTGGCCAAGTTTATTGAAAGACCCGGCTAAAGGCCACTAACCGGCGGAGAGATCGCCCATTGCGATCAGTACGGGTACGTCACCCACACGAATTTCCCTGGGCTGGCACACACTTTTCTGTTTGGCCACGCATTGCGTTTTCACCTTAGCGCCTTCAGCAAGGTCAACACTCGCATTCACACACATTTTATCTACTTACTAATAAAATATTTATATTGAGATCGCTAGAGCGCTAGGAATTTCCTGCGAAGGAAACACGAAATCGTGCCTTTGACTTTTAAATATAGAAGGAAGAGCGAACAGAAAACAATTGCCCACAATTTCGGCCCGACGTCATTCCCAAATGGACTGAGTAATGCCTCAGGTGTGGAGGTAAATGGATTTGGGAATTTGGATATACCCAAGACCTGGAAGGAAAGTGAGATCTGCGCTGGCCTCACGCTTTTCTTTTTTCGGCCTTCCTTTTGGCAACGAGCTGCGGAAATCTCTCGTATTTTCAATTAATTCCCCCGATTTTCCTAGTTTGGCCCTCCTTCATTAGACGACGAAACGTCGCCTTTGATTTGCTAGAAATGTTTTTTATTTTCCTTTCGGATATTTTTAGTTGGCGATCATTGGTGTTGACGTAATTTGGCAACCTTGATTCCCCGTTCCCTTCTCGATATTTGTATTTTTGGCCCGCTTCGCTTTGTTTTAGTCGGTGAATTTATGTTTATTATTTTTTACCTTTTTCCAATGTGTCGTTATTTGTTTGGACCGAAAGTCTAGAATGTGGCCTGCATGTTCGTTTTGGTATTTTTATGATTCCATAAATCTGTCTTTATAGACCGTTTGGCTCAACTAAATCTACAGCCCATCGTAAATTGTGTTAGTTGCATAGATCATCTATTGGGATCCACCCACGCACTTTGCGATTGGGAAGTCAGAGTAACTGATCCGGATTTGTTGTTCTTCCCCGATTTTGTGTCCCTTGGTCTAATTTATCGCTCTTGTTTGCGCCTTTTGATCTCTAGATACGGTGGATTAAGACGCATCTCGAGGGATTAGCTCGAAGCTAATACCTTTGCTTAGAGTATTAATTTAGGTAATTTAATCATTAATCATTTTTATGTTGGAAGCTTGATGAACTGATAGACGAGTAGACCTATTCATAGTCTTTCAGAGCTCTTCATCATATGCAACTCTGCCCACCGATCTCTCATCTCACCACATCCCTTTAATCTTTCAATGCGGTATTTTGTCAGTCTCAGTCAATTAATAGACGAAACTCGAGTGCATAAAGCACTCCCCAGGCCACAATTTCCAACATTAAATCACTTGGACTGCCACTGGGGCAAGGAGCTAGTTGCTTTCGTTATTTTTTGGTGGACTGGGGCAAAGCTCTGATAGACGGGCAAGACAACGACAACTTCGACGACGACAACTACAATATCCACTCTGACAGGCTAACCCAACGCAAACAAAAACGACAAATCCGTCGTCGAGCCCCGAAAGGCCAAAAATAAAAATGCGCTTATAAATAATTCAAATAAAACATTTTGCGGTGGCGCAGTGCAACATCGTCAGCCAAACCTGCAGACTGAGGGAATATAAAATGTCACTTAACATACTCTTGATTAATCATTAACGTTTCAATCAAATCAGTGAGAAAAACAAGTGAATCTCGCTCCGCACAATGGATAGAACAATGTATGGAAAGATCGATCCGGGTGCTCGGCAGCCCTATCGCACAGCTCGAAGCAAGGGTATCCTGCCAGGATGTAAGTATATATCATTGGTTACTTCCATACTGCCCATAAAATATTCAAAGGAGCAATGGTTTCTAGGCTTATAAAAGGGCATACCCCAATGTAAGTCCATCCTCGTACAAGAAGTTATACAAGTGTAAATATATGTTTTTTAAATGCCAGTAAGAAAAATTGCAGCTTTATTATTTCAACATTAAGAAACATAGAAAACATGTTGTTTCGCTGGAAGTTCCGATTTTTATACTAGTTAAGCTGACAAATAAAGGCGACTGCGTTTTGGCATGGCAGGTCGTTCATCTTGAAGGAGGTTGTTGATAACCAAAGCTCGACACATCGATCGTGGCCACTGCTGTTGTCCGGCTCTCCGGCGGACCAGTTGAGAAATGGAGCCTCTAGACCAGTGGCCTGCGACGCGTATACGCCTCGAACGCCGAGGTCATTGATGGATAGCCAATAGCTGTAGGCTGGGTGGAGGTGGGGGCTTAGAAGCTCCAGTTCCTCCCTGCTCTCCAAGTTGACCAGAAATCCGCCCTTCTGACGGCAGTGGTTTGTTGCCTCGAACCAGTTGGTCTTTGCCAAGGAAATGTAGTATTGCTTTCCACCGATCTCCAGGATATCTAAACTTATAAGACGTTCCCTGATCAGTTTGTTCCATATGTTTCAGTAATTATTGACCTACTTTGGTTACCCAAAGGAGAGGCCTCCAAGAGAAGAGCACTCCAGAGTACCAGGCAAATCAGGAGTAGCTTGACCATCATTCCTCGAGTTTCCATTCGCAACTGAGTAAGAAATCGGAAATTGCCCGAGCTGGTCTGATAGCCATGGCTGATAGCGCCTTTCGACGATATGTGTGTCAACATTTGTAGACTGATAGTTAAAGGTATTTAAGCTCGCAGCAAAACACTCAATAAGAGGAACATTTAGTGATATCTTTGCAACTATACGTACATTCTACTTCCACACAACAATAGATACGGTCTCCGGCTTTGGAGCCTCACAAATGTACTTAAACAAGCTATTCGGATGATTGTTGCAGGGTCGATCATTCAGTTGTATCTCCGTTGAGTGTCCGTAGATGTAGCCCAAGTGAATGCAATGCTCCTTGCCCCCAGAGTTGTCTGGTTGGTTGGGCGCCCAACGCTTGATGGTCACGAGTTGGGCATTGGAGAACCAATTGTGGGTGCCGGTTTGGCCCAAGTCATTGCCGGAAGTCCAGTGCTCGGAGCGATCTCCCCGGGCTTTCAAGAACGCGGCAATGGCGTCAAACTCTTCGGGTGTTTCGAAGGTCACCAGTTCAGATCCATATCTGCGGCAGCTCTCGTAGGCGACATACCAATTGACCTTCTCCTGTCCAAACAAATAGTAGCTTTCCTTGATTTTGATGAAGGGACTCGTGTTAACGGTCAAGTTGTTCGGGATTCCTTGAAACATTGCATATAACATATAATAACGATTGCATGAATATAAATGACTTGCTACCATTTTGTATGTGGGTGGAGTACTTGTCGTAGGCGAATCCTGGTGCAAAGCCGGCGACAATAAGGAGAAGTTGAACCAATGTCTTCGGCATTTTTCTAATTACTGGTAAATCCCAACAAGAAGAATGCCCTTATATACCCAATGATATATTTGCGGAGTGCAAGACAACTTTATGGCTTATTTAGTAATTGACTACCTGTTATCTTTAGAATACAGGAAACCTTTGTGTTGTTAGCTATTATCTTTATTTCATAGCTGCTCAGGTTGTTCCCCCTTATTGCAGTCTTAGCAAGTGAGCCATCTGATATTGAAGATGTTTGAGAAGTAATTTACTTCCACACCACAATGGATATGGTTTCCAGTCCGGGAGCTTCGCATATATACTTAAACAAACTGTTTCCATCCTCTGAGCAGGGTCGATCGTTCAGCTCGAACTTCTTGGAGTTCGCGTAGATATAGCCAAGGTGGATGCAGTGTTCCTTCTGCCCAGCATTATCCGGCTGATTCCTTGCCCACCTGAGGGAACTAATTCGCTGGCCACTGGTGAACCACCTGTGGGTGCCAGTCTTGCCCAGATCGTTTCCCGATGTCCAGTACATCTGTTGCGATCCATTGGTCGTCAAGAAATCCGTAACAGCATCGAACTCCTGGTCTGTTTCAAATGTTACCAGCTCAGCGTCCAATTCGCGGCACTTCTCATAGGCCTCATACCAGTTCAAGGACTCCGTTCCAAAGTAGTAGTATCCGTCGTTGATTTTTGTAAAGGGATCTGCCTTGAGGATCGCACCGAAAGCATTTCCTTTGACCAATGTAAGAAAAACGTTGCTTAATTTTCGCTTTGCGATCGCTGCACATATCATTACCGTCGTTTACTTGTATGGTGAACTTTTCCCGAGTCCATCCAGTTTTTGCTATGCCCAGCAATGTAAGAAGTAGAACCGTAAGCTTCAACATTTCGAAAATATTTGGTTTTCCAGCAGAGGTCTTAAAGTTTTTATGGGTTTGAAATCGCCTTCAATTGTGATTAAAATTGCTAATTTTTGCGGCATATGTACATATATTTAATTTTGCTTATTCTATATGTTTTTTGTTGGCATTGCAAAGGCTATCGTATAGTTTTAGCACGGGAGTGCTTATTGAGATTTTTGTTCATCATTTAAAAAAGTTCAGAAATTAGTTGAGCAATACCTTTTCCGAGCGTTGATTATTTTTTCGTAATACTGAAGTACTTCTGGTTTATAGAGGGTAATTTTAAAGTGATACAGAAGTTGTTGTTTGTCCAGGAAAACTACTTTTGACTGACTTATAGAGGATAATAAGAGTGACATTATTTTTCTAGGAAATATTTCCTATTTTGGGTATTTTAGTCATTTTTGCCTATCTAAAATCCATCGTAAACAGCCAAGTTTTTAAATTGTAGCATACTTTTGGGAGCTAGTCTACGAATTATACAAGTTCTTTAGGAGAAGCTGTCTTCTCGGCGTTGATCAATAAAAATGTTCGAACTCCAAAAATGGCAGATTTCATCAAATACGAGCATTTCGAAACGCGAGGCATCATAGGAAATCACCATTAAAGTAAATGTAAGCAATGGCTCCCCAAACACCCAGCAGATGACGCAATCAAATAGACAGTGTATACAAGTGGATCCTATGCATAGGATGTAAGGTAAACAAATGTAGCACTTTGTTGCTAACTTTTCCGAGAGTATTGCCCTAAGCATCTTACTGCCTATATATTCATGCACTCTGAAAAATACGTTGTTCGTGTAAAAGTGCCAACAAAATTGTAGAGACCTTTTAACCTTCTGTATCGCACACAATTGCTGAATTCATGCTTCTAATATAATCATAATCATATAATCATATATATCATTATATATCATATAATCAATAAGCTTATATTTTTTGTTCACAATGCTCGCCAAAAAACATCCCCATATTTTTGGGCAGTGCACTTGCCTAGCGCGTTTGCGTATATCTGGTTTGAGTAATGTTAATTGCACTCAGACTAACACCTTCGATTGCACTCGCATCGAATTCTCCAGTTGTCAGCACACGATTTGAATATTCCCCATTCAGTTTGCATTTCGCCGTTGTGCGGTCTTCATCGAATTTGTTTAGCAAGTGAGCTGAGTGCAAACAGTCAGTCGATTGACATGAAAATCGGTAAGCCTCAGTCTTTCGAGCTTTGCGGTGTGGGTTTCATTCTACAATCTGTAGACTGGTAGTCGCTGACCTTACTACGCGTTTCATTCATTGGATCATTGGATCATTAGATCATTAGATCATTGTTCCCATTGAGTCGGCGGCCGATCCAAGCATCGTCGGTGGGCGTCAGTGGTTTCCAATCGACTCGTGTTCTATTTATTGCCAAGCACGACACTTTGGCAACAGATACAAGCATAATCCGTGAGGATAACGTGCGTTTCGCAATGATAAAGTGGCACACATCTCAGAAATCATGGGATTGATATGGGTAGAGATGGGTATAGGCAAAATCGATCTAGTTGTAAGGAACAGTTTCAATTTATCATTACTTGATTACTTGGTAGGGTTTTTATTGTAAGCTGCAGTAAACTATAGTATTTATTCTTTGATCAAGTAATTTGGTATTAAAGTTTCGTCTGGTAGAGTTCACTATGACAGTATACACCTGTTTAGGTTAGCATTGCGCAAGGTATTCTAATTGCCGAGGTGGTAACCTCAAGGCATCTGAGATCCGATTGATTGATTACAGTGTCGGCTTATCTTACGGATACTGAGGAAGTTGGGTTGGTCAAATAACAAAAAGGTTTATAACGCTGTTGAGAGCCTATCGATAAAGCCGAACCCGTTTGTACGACTTTGCAGTGACACAGGTCGGGGCCAGATGATTATTATTTTGTATTATTGGTTTTACCAGTAGGTAAACTCTTATATTGTTCGCATTTGAATATTTTTAAACCAAAATAATCAATTTGGCAAAAGCATCGCCATCAGAGCGACCCAAACAAAAAGAATTAAACAAAACACTTAATTCTGAACAAAAGCCATAACAATTTGTGACTATGTGTTTCTGTTGTTGTTATACAAATACTAATTTTAGTTTTCTTTTCAAAGTCAAGTGATTCATCCATTTGAAACAAAAAAAACCGGCAAAACTCTCGGGAAATGAGTAAAAAGACAAGCGCAAAAGGCAGACGCCAGGTGGCGCCACCACTTGTGTGACACACTAGCCCACGCAACAACAACAAATGATCATAATTACTCAACACCTGTGCTTGGAAAATTTTTTTTCTGAAATTCCGCGAAATTTTCGTTGATTTTGTGGTAACTTTCAAGGAAGAATCAATGTTCAGGGTATATACCATATACCTGTAGGTATAATCACCTTCATCATTACAACATATTCCTTTTAAAATATGTATGTATGTACATATATTCGGAAAGGTATTTGAATTGGCTATGATTAGAATTTAAGAAGATGTTATAAATAAAAATTGTTTATAGCTTTTCTAATATGGAAAATTAGTTCCAACATACCCCCTTCGAAATTAACTAGTTCATTTTTTCCAGTGCACTGCCGACGCTGCTGCTTCTTGCTGCTGTTTGTTGCCTCAACTGAGTGCGATGGCGGTGCGAGCAGCTTCGACGAATTCGTTGTCGAGCTTCTTGTTCAGTTGATTTTGAGATTTTGCCGAGGGAAAATAGTTTCTGTGCTGCTGCTGCTGCCTCGTATGTGTGACGTCTTTGCGCGGGTGTGCGGGTGTGTGTGTGCGGGAATTTAATTAAGGCAGCCGCAATCGATCAGCAGTATCAACAACAACAAACTAAAAACCGCAAACAAGCCGCCAAAATGAAAATCGAAAGTGCTCCCAAAACGAGCTAAACAAAACCAAAAAACACATGTACAATGTACATACGTAGATATGTAACAATGTCAACAATAAAACAACAACAGAAAGCAGCGGAGTGCAAAAGGGAGAGCGGGCAACAACAGCAACAATTCAAATTCGCGACTGTTTTATCTGCAACTCTCACTGCGCTCTCTGCATCTCCTCTCCCGCTCGCTCCTGCGCTGCATCAAGTTGTCAATTGCAAAATTTCAACAGCTGTCATGTGCAGCTGCCTCCCTCTCCCTGCCGCTCGCTCTCCCTCTCGCCCTCCCTCTCGCGCTCCCTCTCCCACCCACCATCATTTTACTGCAAACCGAGTTTGAGCGCAACTCCGCCTCGGGAAAAACAGCAAAAACTTACTCAGCCAGCTACTGCTGGTTAATTGATTTTAATTGCATTTTAATCAAGCCAGCAGCTTCTGCCAATTGCATTCCTCGAAACTAATGTGTGAAATGTGTTCTTGATGAAATACGCCTCGTGCAGCATCAAGTGGCTTATTTGGGCATATTTTCTGTCACCCTGAGGAATAATACAGGGCCCTCTCGATATCAGCAACTAGTTGCGGTGCTGTGTTCGCTAAAACCTAATGCTGTTTGGAAGAACATAGAAGAAAATCACGATCCTAGCTCACAAGTACCTTGAATTAATAAAAATATTTCAAAAGTTTACATTAACTTTCTGTTATGTAAACCAATTCCTGATTGATTGCAGTATTTGCGTTAGTTTAATCCTTTTTATTTCGAGTTAGATTATTGAGTTGTATTGGGATGCGAGCAAAGTAAAGTTATCAACACAAATCAACGATCTTAAGCCGATTTCAAATATTTGTTTGTGTGTTCAAGCGATTTAAAAGAATCATTTCCGCTGCGGCACCATAAATTTCAAAATCCCATTCGTCTTCTTTGTCGGCTCTTCCCATCACGTTGACCCAGTGAGGCGTGACGTTCTGATAACCCTGCCCTATCCTATATATAGATGACCCCCCTGATGTCTGTCTGATCCAAGCGGAGAATCCATGGAAATGGGAGTACGCAGACCCACATATGGTGCCTGGTGGCTGTGCCTCGAGCGATTTGCTCGTCAACCACATGTTCGATCATCTCTCGGTTTTGGACTATTTTTAAAGATATTGCGAAATAATTTGGCTGATTCTAGCCCAATAATGCAAATGTTTTCGAATATAAATTCGAGCATCGCCTCTTGATCACTTTCATACGAAGGAACTTGTTATGAATTCGCTTGCCAAACCGAATGAATC